TGTTTATTCTAGTTTTGTTTGTAAGTAGGTCGTGTGAGTTAATTCATTTATATTTACTATGTCTTTTAAATCAGAAATTTTTTATTATGTATGTCCTTTTAGATTTTATCTGCAGCTCATACTTTGCAATCATCACCCAGTAGTGTCTTATTCTAGCATCGTGTAAATCCGAGCATCATCTGGTGGACTCTTAAACTTCAGTAGAAACCATGAGTTATTCATACATTTTCCATTCAGATATCAATATCAGAAGGAAACGTAAATGAATATTCTAAATAAGGCTAATTTGTATTAATCTGCCTTTATATTTGGGGGAAAAAAGCTGAGACATTGCATGAAAGATGATGCAGGATATACGCTGATCTTTTGGCCCCATTGAGCTATTCGAACATTGTCCTGTTCTATTGTCAGTTTTCTTTTCTTTTTTTTTTTTTTTGAGACGGAGTCTTGCTCTGTCGCCCAGGCTGGAGTGCAGTGGCCGGATCTCAGCTCACTGCAAGCTCCGCCTCCCGGGTTTACGCCATTCTCCTGCCTCAGCCTCCCGAGTAGCTGGGACTACAGGCGCCCGCCACCTGGCCCGGCTAAGTTTTTGTATTTTTAGTAGAGACGGGGTTTCACTGTGTTAGCCAGGATGGTCTCGATCTCCTGACCTCGTGATCCGCCCGTCTCGGCCTCCCAAAGTGCTGGGATTACAGGCTTGAGCCACCGCGCCCGGCCTCTATTGTCAGTTTTCATAATCATTTATTATATGGTCAATTTTTGAATTCCTGTAATATGAGACCCTTTTCTAGCTTTTAACTTATTGTGACCTAAAGTTAGTAAGTCCAGATTATATGGTCATTTAAAAAAAAAAAAATCCCTCACAGTTCCGTTTATTAAATAAGTAAACCCCACTAATAAGTATTTGTGTCCTGGCTTATAGTGGATGTCTAGAAAAGTAATACATAAGGAAAAATGTTCATCTTATTTGTTTAGTCATGGGATGTGTGTGCCTGTCGAGCACCTCTTCAACTTGGAATCTGATAGAACACTGCCACCCTCATTGCCTCGTTTTTCATCGACCTTCATAGTAATTGCTTGTTCTGTAACTGCCACAACCCAGCATGGCAGAGAGAGGGAAGACACCCTACAAAGCAAGGTAATGTCAACGTTGAGATCATGAACGGCCCTGAGCAGAGCAGAGCATCACTGCTTCCTTCTACATTAAGGAGGATCTGATGGTGCCCTGTGAGTTCACGGGGGTGCCTCCGTGTAGACTGGAAACCACAGCTCTGCGTCCTTCCCTCTTTCGCTCTTGATCGGTAGAAAGGTACCCTCCCTGGCCTGCACGTCACCGGGTCACACAGCACCGGCTGTGGTTGCACAAAGCCACCGCCACCGGTATTCCTTTGAGGCCATTTTTTTCCAGCCATGGTGCCTGTAGGATTTTTTCCTTTATCCTGTAATTTCAGCCAAATCTGAGCATGTGACCTGGCTTAGATGTCAAGATAACTGTTGTTATGTGCTCTTTTCCCTTCCTGTGTCTGGGACAGGTTTAATTTAACCTGAGAAGGCTGCAGATCCTCGGGGTTGAGGTGAAAACAGCTCATCCTGATCTGAGAAGGCGGTCAGCTTTTCTCGTCGTCGCCCTTGGCTGACAGCACCCATTCTCTGTGCATGTGAAAATCCCAGAGACGCTGGGCTTCCTCCTTGGGCATTCCCCAGGCCTGTCTCCAGAGTGGGGCCCAGCATGGGAAGAGTGTACCCCACTCACTCCCGATGTGGAGCTTGGACCTGCAGCTCGACAGCGCCCATGGCATGTGGGCAGAAGCGACAGCAGCCGGGTCCACCTCAGCCTTAGGGCGGCGCGTGTCCTGCATGTGCTCTGGGAGCCTCCACCTTCCATGCTGTGGGAAGAGGGTGCCCAGGGAGCTGCAGTCCCTCCAGCTCAGTCCCAGGACGAGGCCCAGGCAGCAGCCATCCCCGCTGACCTGCCAGCGTGAGAGAAATGCGTGTGTACACACTGAGTGTTCAGGTGGCTGTTACATGGCAGCATTGAGTGACACAGACAGAAAAGAGATGCACAAGGGAGAAGTGAGAGTGCTGGAGACGCCACAGGCCACAGGCCACAGGCCACAGGGGCAGGATGGCTTCTGAGGAGGTGAAATGATTCTTCTGGGAATAACGTCACTCCATCTGACAGAGGAAGACATGGAGGCTCCAGATGGTTGAAGGCCCAGCAGTGATCCCAGACAGGCCCCACGTCAGACCAGGCTCCTCCAGGGCTGTGCTGCCGTCACCAAAGCCCATCCTGAGGGCAGCCACGTGGCAGGCAGTGCTCGCCATTTGTACAGCGAGGCCCAAGTTCCAGCCTGCCTTCTGGCAGGTAGAGGAAGCAGGGGTACTGCCTGGGAGCACCTGAAAGCAGATGGGGCAGCATTTGGTCAAGAGCCAGGAGGGGATGACAGACCAGAGGGGAACCCTTGTCCCATGTGCTGAGTGCATGTGGGGGGCTGGGCACTTGCTCTGTGAGCTATAATTGGTGTCCCTGTGCCCCGCTGGAAGCTGCACCAGGCAGCTTCTTGGTGGAGGACAGTGGCCGCCCTCTAGCCTTACTCCCTTCCCCGTGATGGGTCGCTGTGAGATGTGTGTCCAGGAAAGGCAAACACCAAAGGCAGAGGACTAATTCCTACACCAAATCCTCTGGTGGCCTTGCTTGGGGACTGGATTTTGACAGCTGGAGGCTGTCCTAGACTCAGAGATTGAAAACAGGGAAGAACCATCGCTGAAACCTTTGGAAAAGCCTGCAACGGGGCCTCTGGCAGCCTGAGGAGTGGCGGTGTTTCCATCTGGTAGATGCCGTCTCAATAGGAGGGACAGATGAGTGCACTGGCGCTGCCAGCCAGAGGTGTCTGTCGGCGTGTCTTTATGGAATGGGGCGCCAGTCTTGGTGAGGGTGGTTTACTTTCCTATTTCTAGTCCCCACTGGGCCCACCTTCTGCTTCATGGCCAGCTGGCCAGACCTAGCACTTTCCTGACCTTTGACCTTGGCCCCTGCTGACTCTGGCCCTTGAGGCTTCCTGCAGACCCCATTTGTATTCATTTCCTGCAGTTCTCACACCTGAATCTCGCCTGGACTTCTGCCAAGCCCTCCAGGCCCTCCTCCCCCAGGAAGACCACAGATACCATGTGCAGGGCTGTCCTTCGGGGGCTAGCACACCCCTTCCAAGCGGGCAAGACCCGGGGGTGGCTCAAAAGATAGCTGTGCCCTCGCCCTGGAACCTCTGAATGTTGATTTTTGTAGCAAAAAAGGATGCAGATGTGAGTAAAGGCTGGTGAGATAAGGACATCATCCCTGCTCTCTGGGAGGACCCCAAATGTAGGCACACACATCAGAAGACAAGGCAGCAACTGGGGTGATGCAGCCACAGCCAAGGAAGGCCAAGGATTGCTGGCAGCCTGCAGAAACTGGAGGGCAAGGAGCGTCCCCGCAGGGCGCCCAGGAGGAGCAGGGTCCTGCTGACACCCGGACTGCAGACGTCCAGTCTCCAGAACTGTGAGAGGATCCATTTCTATTATTTTAAGCAACCAAACTTGTGGTAGTTACAGCAGCCTCAGGAGATAAATACAAATGGAAAATCAAAAAGATTCCAAGAAATGAGTGGACCTGGCCGGGTGCAGTGGCTCACACTTGTAATCCCAGCATTTGCGGGAAGATTGCTTGAGCTCAGGAGCTGGAGACCTTGTCTCTACAAGAAACTTTAAAAAATAGGCTGGGTGCTGTAATCCCAGCACTTTGGGAGGCCGAGGCAGGCGGATGACAAGGTCATGAGTTTGAGGCCAGTGTGACCAATATGGTGAAACCCCCGTCTCTACTAAAAATTCAAAAATTAGCCAGGTGTGGTGGTGTGTGCCTGTAATCCCAGCTACCCAGGAGATTGAGGTAGGAGAATCGCTTGAACCCGGGAGGCAGAGGTTGCAGTGAGCCAGATAGCGTCACCACACTCCAGCCTGGACAACACTTTGCCTGAAAACTCTGCCTAAAAAAAAAAAAAAAGAAAGAAAAACCAATAGCTGGGCTTGGTGGCATGCACCTATAGTCCCAGCTACGTGGGAGGATTGCTTGAAGCCAGGAATTCAAGACCAGTCTGGACAACACAGCAAGACTCTACCAAAAAAATTTAAAAATTAGCCAGGCACAGTGGCACACCCATAGTCTTAGCTACTCAGGAGGCTGAGGAGGGAGGATTATCTGAGCCCTGGAGGTCAAGGCTATAATGAGCCATGATTGTGCCACTGCACTCCAGCCTTGGCAACACAGTGCAAGACCCTGTCTCAAAAACAACAAAAACCCAAAACAAAAACAAGAAATTACTAGACCTGAGGCCTGGCCTTTAGCTGCTGCCCTGCCCTTGTGATCTGGTCACTCAGGATCCCCTGGGCCCAAACACACAGCCTATTGTCCACTTCAAGAAGGCTCCCCACTGCCTGGCTGGCAATTGGGGTGGGCCTTGCAGCCCCCACCTGTCCTAGCCCCATGGCGCTGGTGCTGCAGGCCCCTGCCGCTGCTTGTTCCAAGCTCCTCAGCCTCCTGCGGGGTTGCCTGCACCTGATGGCGATGAATCTGGAAGGCAGGCGTGTCCTGGGCCGCAGAGCAGTCATGGCTGTTCAGCCACCAGGGGGCTCCATTTGCAACCTTGGATGTGGCTTTGGCCTCTTAGTCCAAGGTGTCCTTGGGGGCCCCCAGACAAGAGACAGGGAGACTGGAGCCCAGCCCCACCCTCCTGCACATACCTGGCCCATCCCTGCCCTATCCTGGAAAATGGGGGCCACTGCACGTGCAAGGGACACAGGACAGGAACCTTTGGCCTTGTTATCAGATATTTTAAAACCAAGTACAAACATGATTATCAGATGCAGTTTTTATAGCAGCAAGAAACCTGTGCTTGCAGAAATAAACACATGCCAGCAACCCACCTATGCGGAAAGCCACACAGAGCCATTGTTTTCTGCACCCTCAGGTGACATTTGCCCCAGGGAAGGTCACAGCTGCCTGAACCTTTAAAACTCCCGGACACACTGCCTGTGCAGGATCTGGAACCCAGCAGCACTGCCAGGGCCTTGAAGTGCTTCTTCAGAGACCTCTCTTCATAAACTACTTTTTTTCTTAAAGCAGCAAAAGGAGAAAATTGACATCAAAGGGTATTCCAGATTCTTGATAGCCTTCTCATCATCTCTGAGGACATCCCCATCATCTCAGGTGAGCACCAGGTGGAGTGCCTCCGGGTGACTGGCCAGTTCGGAGCAGGGAGGGAGGCTTAGCGTCTTGTCCTGCAGCGGAGAGTGAGGAGGAGGCTCCAGCGTCCCTCCGGGGCGGGTTTTCTGGTGGATGGGAGAGTGACTCGGGGTCCTCCACGTGGTGCCAGCTGTTTGGGTTTCTGGATGTTGTAGGAAAGACTTGCGGGGGTTTCCCCTGCCCACGTCCCCCGACCTTCAGCTGCACCAGCCCCTGCCAGCTGGGCCCCCGGAGGCTGGAGTGCTGTGGCAGGGATGATGTCTCACTTCTGTTATGTCTCTGCGCCCTGTGCTCTCCCAAGATGAGGGGCATGAGGCTGCTGGGGGCTCTGCTGGCACTGTTGGCCCTACTGCAGGGGGCCGTGTCCCTGAAGATCGCAGCCTTCAACATCCAGACATTTGGGGAGACCAAGATGTCCAATGCCACCCTCGTCAGCTACATTGTACAGGTGAGGCCAGGGCGGCCTCTCCCCAGAAGCAGAGGGGCTCTGGAGTCTGGGGCTGGTGGGCGGTGCCAGCCCTGTGGGGCCACAGAGTGTCGGGTGTGGGGTACTGAGCGCCTCTGCCCCCAGCCCGGCGGAACAGGCTCTTAGCTGCGGACCAAGGTCCTCGTCCCTGCTGTGCTGTCCCTGGCTGGCAGCAGGAGCCCAGGCAGAAACATGAGGCTGCAGCTAAACCGAGCAATGCCACAAGCATCAACTGTGGCTCCCTTTGTGGCAGTGTGGGGTCCCTAGGTGGCACCAGCCCTGCTCAGCACCACTGTGGCCCTGCCCCCAGATCCTGAGCCGCTACGACATCGCCCTGGTCCAGGAGGTCAGAGACAGCCACCTGACTGCCGTGGGGAAGCTGCTGGACAACCTCAATCAGTGGGTGACAGTGGCAGGGTCCTAGGGGGGTGACATCTCGTCCAGGGCAGTCTCACTTCACTTGGGCCCCAAGGGTGGGGACCTGGGCACAGCCTTGCTGTTGGCAGCCAGAGGTGTCCCCTAAGGCCCCTGCCCACTGGGACCTTTTGTTTCCTCAATCCAGCGATGCACCAGACACCTATCACTATGTGGTCAGTGAGCCACTGGGACGGAACAGCTATAAGGAGCGCTACCTGTTCGTGTACAGGTGGGTGGTCCAGAAAGCCAGGAAGCTCCTCCTTCACCTGGGAGGGCCCCAGCAGAGCAGGGAAGGAGTTTGTCCTATGGGGCAAGAACCTGAGGCTGCAGGGCAGGTCCAGGGTGGAGTCAAAACACCCTCCTGAGGTCCCGGACCCATGGGGTGAGCAGGTGGCGGCCTGCCCGCCCACCCTCCTGTCTGTGATGCAACGCGTGCCTCCTGGGAAGCAGGAGTGGGGCAGCTTCCAGCCTGGGCTCACCTCCTCCTGCCCGGCCTTCCCGCAGGCCTGACCAGGTGTCTGTGGTGGACAGCTACTACTACGATGACGGCTGCGAGCCCTGTGGGAACGACACCTTCAGCCGAGAGCCAGCCATCGTCAGGTTCTCCTGCCCATTCACAGGTGGGTGCTGCCACACTGGGTGCTGCCTGGGCCAGGGTGGGGCACAGCTTGGTGCTTACGGCCTCCACCCCCTCCTAGGGAACCCGGAATGCCTGTGTCACACACTGCCCTCCCAGTCCCTGGGGCTTGGGTTTTCCATTCATTTGGAACATGACCCCCCAGGGGGACTGTCATGATTCACAGTTCCAACTGACATGGTGACTGAACCTGCCCCCAGGGAGTGGCCGCTGCACAGAGGTCAGGGAGTTTGCCATTGTTCCCCTGCATGCGGCCCCGGAGGACGCAGTAGCTGAGATCGATGCTCTCTATGACGTCTACCTGGATGTCCAAGAGAAATGGGGCTTGGAGGTGAGACCCTCCCGGGGCAGTGGGCACCAGCGGCCTCCGCTTGTCCCTGGGCCCACAGGCAACGTTTCCTGGTAGGACGTCATGTTGATGGGCGACTTCAATGCGGGCTGCAGCTATGTGAGACCCTCCCAGTGGTCATCCATCCGCCTGCGGATGAGCCCCACCTTCCAGTGGCTGATCCCTGACACCGCTGACACCACAGCTACATCGACGCACTGCGCCTACGACAGGTGAGCAGGGTATCACGCTTAGGGCAAAGAGCAGCCGTGACTCATACGTCCGGCTTCAGAAATCTCGAGGCCTTTGGACACTCACCCAACTGAACTTCAGTTGATCCACTCAGGAAACGGAATAACAAGAGCCACGATTTTTAGTTTTTTAGGAAAAGCACGTTTGGGGATAAGAGGAGAGGCAGACACATTAGGCTGTCACGTGGTTTCCACTTTGAGGGGCACAGGCCAGGGTGTGCAGTTTTGGGCGCCCACAGACCTGCACTGTCAGGTCCCAGGGCTCTTAGTTTAGTTCCTGTGAGCCCTGAGCCAGGCCCATGGGTGACAGGGGAACCTGTTGTCTCTTCCCAACACCCATCAGGATCGTGGTTGCAGGGACGCTGCTCCAGGACGCCGTTGTTCCCGACTCGGCTCTTCCCTTTAACTTCCAGGCTGCCTATGGCCTGAGTGACCAACTGGTATGTGTCCTCCCTTGCACAGTCACATGGGGATGGGACACAGGAACTTAGGCTCAGCCCAGACCCTGTGCCCACTTGCCTGCAGGCCCAAGCCATCAGTGACCACTATCCAGTGGAGGTGATGCTGAAGTGAGCAGCCTTCCCCACGCCAGCTGAACTGCAGGAAGAGAGGACCCATCCTGCCGCAGGAGCCAGACAAACAGCCCAACACTCAGGTTAAGAAATACCTTTTAATTTAGGTAAATAAAGCTCAAGGCGGCGGGGCTGTCATCTGTGGTGTCAGTCCTTCTGGCCCCTGGCTGTCAGTGTCGCTCCAGGGCCTTGACAAGCAGCTCATTCAAGCGGCCCACCATGGCCCTAGGGTCGTCAACAAGCCCAGCGGCAATCATGGCGTTCTCGTATATCTGAAAGGCAAGAGAAGAAACCCATTATGAGGGCCGTGGGGCATCTTTTGAGACAGTCTCACTGTTGCCCAGGCTGGAGTGCAGAGGCACGATCTTGGCTCACTGCAACCTCAAGTGATCCACCCGCTTCCCAAAGTGCTGGGATTACAGGCGTGAGCCACCACACCCGGCCATTTTTCCCTTTTTAAAGCAGAATTTGGCTGGGCACGGTGGCCCACGAGGTCAGGAGACAACGTGGTGAAACCCCGTCTCTACTAAAATACAAAACAATTAGCCAGGCATGGTGGCATGCACCTATAATCCCAGCTACTTGGGAGGCTGAGGCAGGGGAATTGCTTGAACCTGGGAGGCGGAGATTGTAGTGAGCCAAGATCGCACCACTGCACTCCAGCCTGGCAACAGAGCGAGACTCCATCTCAAAAAAAAAAAAGGCAGGATTTTGGAGGAAACTGCTGTTCCAGCCTGCAGGTAGGCTCTCAGGGCTGGTAGCCCGGATCTGTGCAGTCATCCTGAGCTGCTGTACTCACCTGATCCACCAGCAGCTGGGCCAGGCCAGGCTCGCTTGCCCGCAGCTGATTCAGCTTCTTGATGAGCACATGCCTGCAACACAGAACCCACCAGAAAAAGCAGCTCAGGACCACGTGCTGCAACCCTCCCTTCATGTTTTGGGATTATCAGAATATTTAGTTTTTTAAAGGTATATAGATGATATGATTATATACCCAGAAAACCCAAGCGAAGCAGGAGTGTCAGTATTAGAAAATGCTGTAAGGTAGCCAAGTTCCAAGATCAAAATACACTAAAGTACACTAAAGGGACAAAAGGAGCTTATGTGAAGACATGCCTTGGTTCCTACATGAATAATAAAAGAGAAGGGAGGAAGTCCCACATGTTGAAACATATTATAGGGCTCTAGTAAATAAAACAGTTTAGCTCTGGAAAGGGGGAAGGCGAACAACTCCATGTAACGAGGGTAGACACTGGTCTGATGAGGACAGTATTTCACAGAAGAGGGAGGCGACAGATCACTCCGTCCGGCAGCACTGGGATAACTGGGAGCCATGCAGAAAACCATTTAGACCAGAGTAAATTCCAGAGGGATCAAAGATGAAAAGCACAATTCTAGGGAAGAAATGCTTCATAATCTCAGAAGGGGAAACCCAGAAGCCAAAAAAGCATGATGTAGTATTTAACATGAAAATTATAATTTTTCACTTAGGAGAAGTCTGATAAAACCGAGGGCTCTGGGGAACTGTACATTTGTACAACCTCTCCAGAGGATAACTGAAGTCAGGAAAACCACATGTGGATGTGCTGAGACTCAGCTATTCCACTTCCTAACTGTAGCCCTTTAAATACTTCTTTTTTTAGATGGACTCTCACTCCTTCACCCAGGCTAGAGTGAAATTGCATGATCTTGGCTCACTGCAGCCTCCCAGGTTCAAGAGATCCTCCTGCCTCAGCCTCCCAATTAACTGGGATTACGGGCACCCACCACCACCCCCAGCTAGTTTTTGTATTTTTAGTAGAGACGGGGTTTCGCCATGTTGACCAGGGTCTCGAATTCCTGACCTCAAGGGATCCACCCGCCTAAGCCTCCCAAAATGTTGGGATTACAGGTGTGAGACACCGCACCCGGCCTAAACCAGGAAACACTTTAAATGCACATCCTCACATTTCTAGTCTATGTAGCTGGAAAAAAGGACATTCTTAATATGCTACTGCGGAGATCACCTAGTTACCCTACGGGAGAAAAGCAAGGCAAGGACCCACTGCACAGCAGGTTACCCCCAGGAAATCCAAGGGTGCAGCTGCCCACAAGAGCACATCATCTCTGCAGAAATACAAAAGCCCTAATGCTGGCTGCACTGGGGACACAGGTAGGAGGAAATTTTCCCCCGTAAACAGTTTTGAATTCTGAACTATGTGGACAGAACACCAAATTTTAAAACAAATAAAAGTGAACCTGGCTGGGCACAGTGGCTCTCACCTGTAATCCCAGCACTTTGGGAGGCCGAGGCTGCAGTGAGCTCTGATGGCGCCACTGGTGCACTCCACCCTAGGTGACAGAGCAAGACCCTGTCTCCAAAAGTGAAGTCCTTTGACAATAGACAGAAACGAGCACTTCTGCAGCTATCTTAAAAAACTAGTTTGGCACCAAAACTAGTTAAAGTGACATGGTGTCTGCCTCACTGAGCTGCTCCAGCAGAGGCGCAGGCATTCCGCAAACTGGCGCTGCTGTGGGAAGGTGCTTACTCGGCACTGACAGCCATAAGCCAAGTCGGCTTTTCCCCCAGCAGTGCCACGGCCAGGACAATGCATCTCCCTCACCGCCAGTATAATTTTTAAAGGTAAGGTAAGGTTCTAAAATGACAAAAAAAAAAAAAAACTAGACATGTACTAAAGAACAAAACAAACCCTGGCTGGGGATGGTGGCCCACACTTGTAATCCCAGCACTTCGGGAGGCCAAGGCAGGTGGACCGCGTGAGCCCAGGAGGTAGGGGTTGCAGTGAGCTGAGATCGCCCCACTGCACTCCAACGTGGGGGACAGAGTGAGACCCTGTCTCAGAAATTAAAATACGACTTAGGCTACATTGTGGGGAGTGATAAGGCTATGGATTTTGATTTCCTTTCTGTTGTTTTCTAACATTTTTGGTAACTTGTTTATGTAACTTCATTTTTTTAAAAATTGCTGTATACAAAATTTCCCCCAGAAAAGAAACTTCATGTATAACAAGTTAGAAAATGAAATTTTAAAATACCCAGTAAGACACATCAAAGAATAATTCTTTAAAAATGGTACCAGAACTCTACAGAGAATGTAAGGTACCAAAGGATGTTGAAGACCTAAATAAAAATATCACATTCATCGGTGCAAATAAGTGATACTCTAACAGTGTCAATTCTCCTGAAAACTCATTTAGGGAATCAAAACAATCTCAATCAAACCCCAACAGGCCAGACGCAGTGGCTCACACCTATAATCCCAGCACGGTGGATCACATGTGGCCAGTCTGAGACCAGTCTGGGCAACATAATGAGATCCCATTTCCACAAAAATTTTTTTTAAGAATTAGGAATGATGGTTCACACTGTCTCAGCTACTCAAGAGGCTAAAGCAAGAGAATCATCTGAGCCCAGGAGTTTGAGGCTGCACACATCACTGCACTCCAGCCTGGGCAGCACAGACCTTGTCTCAGAAGAAAGAAACATAGGAACAATGAATTCAGGACTCTGTAAAGATTTCTTAAGATCCCAAAAAAGCATCTAATGAAAACGTAAATGTTCTATTAAGAATACCTACTCATCAAAAGATACCTAAAGGCAGGTGAAAAGACATTTACAACAGATAAAGGGCATATAAAGAACAGCGGGAAGAAAGGAGGGAAATCTTACACGCTTAGCCACTGTCAGGGCTGGGGGTTCTCGGTCCACCCTGGAAGCAGCTCCCACCACCGGGGCCACAGAGAAACCCACACAAGCCCCAGACACGCGGACAAGAATATTCAGAGCAGCCTGGTTCTCCACCACTTCTGACCAAGAACCACCCGAGGCCCAGCAGAGCAGAACGGAGGAGTCTGCTGCACCGAGATGGGTTTCTGCAGCGGATACTATTTGGCTACGAAAATGAACTTGTGGCAGCCCCTCTGCGTAGGCAACCCTCATGCCAAGTGAGCAATGTGAGACTTCAGCAAACACCAAGATCCACCAAGATCCACGTACAAAGCTCAAAACAGGCAAAACTCAGCATGTTCAGGACATGCACAGGTGGCAAAGCCATAGACCAAAACAAGGACATGGTCACAAGTTGGGATGCAGCTGGCCGGCCAGGTTCCGTTTCACATGGGTGCAGCCTAAACTGAATACAGCTCCTCAGAGTTACCCACATGTCCACAGGCCTCACGCACTTCTCTTCTGTGTCACATTCCACAACAGAAGAACACCACACACAGGATTCTGGGGGATCCCGCAGAGTGTGGCCTCACCTGGGGTTGATCTCCAGTGTGGGCTGCAGGAGCTGTGCACGCTCCTCCTGGGTCTTGGCCAGCTGCTGCATGCGCAGGAAGTGGCGGGCAGCCCCCATCTCCAGCACGGTGACCATGGCAGGGTGGGTGTCCAGTCGGAGGGTTACCTGTGAGCAAAGCCAGGGGTTAAGGGTGATAAAGGTTCCCAATGTGAGAGGGCTGGGGACTGGCAGCATCTTAACCAGGGGTGAAGGTCACCCAGACTACGAGGTAGCAGGCAGGATCTCAAGGACTCTCCTGTACCCGTGCTACTCCCTCCCCATGACCCACTAACCTGTGGGCCCTGAGCTGATGCCCCACACAGATACTGTGCCTTAGGGGCTCCACCACCCTGGTCCCCTGCTGCTGCCTCCAGGAGCTGCCCAAATCCATCCTCTGGTCCACGCCAGCCCACCCTGCATGAGGCCCCTCCTCCAAGTGACCATGCATGGGACACTCATTTCTTGCTCCAAGCTAGACTGATTCGGTGGGGGCGGGGGCGGGTCTTAGCTCTCTGAAGCCCACCCAAAACCCCCTAAGAACCCAAGGGAGAAGTGAGCTGCTGAGGGCTGGGGTAGCATGTCCCTTCTTCGGAACCCCCATGTCCTCAGCTCCTGCACGGTTGCGACCGGGACAATCCACTGGGGCTGTGGGTTTTCCGTTTTCAGTTCGCAGCTGCTCGGGAGCAGGGCCGGGAGGAAGACACTGCCCTCCTGCCTCAGCGGCACTCCCGGGCGACACATGTGCCCACCAGCGACCCACAGGGTCTCCAGCTGACACCATGGGCTTCTGCTGCTGCTGGAAGGACACCCACCAGGCCAGGTTCTAGGAGCCACCAGCTGGCCGGCCTGTTA